TTGCATTTCCATATAAATCTTAGGGTCAGTTTGTCCATTTCTACAAATAAGGCAGCTGAGGTAATGATAGGTAATTGCATTTAGTCTGTAGATCAATTAGGTTATATTGCCTTTTAGCAATATTGAGTCTTCCACTCAACTAGCATGAAATGCCATTCCAAATTTTTGGTTTCCTTTAATACCTCTCAACAATGTTTAGTCATTTAAAGAGGGTAAAACTCTTAAAATCTTTGGTTAAATTTATTCTAAGTATTTTATCTTTTTTGATGCTATTGTAAATGGTATCGCTTTCTTAATTTCATTTTGGATTGATCATTGTTAGTGTATAAAATACAGTTGCCCCTTGGTATCTGTGCATGATTGGTTCCAGGAGCCCTCCTTCTTGTATATGAAAATCCATAGATGCTCAATAGTATAGTATTGGCATATAACCTACCCATATTTCCTGAATATTTTAAACCATCTCTAGGTTACTTATAATACCTAATATAATATAAATGTTATGCAAGTAGTTTCCATACAGCATTGTTTAGAGAATAATGACAAAGAAAAAAGTCTATACATGTTCAGTACAGATGTAACCACCCATTTCTTAAAATATTTTCAATTTGCATTGGTTGAATCCATGGATATGGAACCCACAGATATGGAGGGCCAATTGTACAATATTTTTTCTGTATTGATCTTGTATATTGGACATTTGCTGAACTTGTTCATTAGTTCAAAAAGAATTTTTAATAGATTATTTAGGATTTTCTATACGCAAGATTATGTCATTTAGAAATAAACATATTTTTACTTCTTTTCTTGATTAATTGCCTTGGCTACAAACTACAGTACAATATGTAATAGAAGTGGTGAGAGTGAATATTTTCTTCCTGTTCCTTGTATGGGGGAAAGGGCATGCATGCCTCCAATCTTGGCTTGGGTGTGGCAAAGTCTTAACATGTAACCAAAATGTTTGTACCCCCATAATATCCTGAAAAAAAATAAATCACTTTAACTTATCCAGACCTGCATATGGCAACACATTTTTTTGTTAAAAATGAGAAACAGGTCCAGTAAGTCAAAATTATATTCATTTTTCCAAGTCAATTAGTTTTTAATATGATCCAGTCTCTTCTGTATATGTTTTTCATTGATTTGAGTGTGTGTGTTAATGTTTTACAGTCAAACATTTTGGAGGGAGGAGGGGGGGTGAAGGAGAAAAACAAAGAATATAAATACATTTAAACTGTATACTTTATCTCAATAAAAATATTTTTTTAAATGTAAAAAAAGTGAAAAAGAAAATATTAATTATTTATTTAATTAAATGATTCACAATACTTATGAGGAAATAATATACTGGTCTCAGAATAAAATACAATCCTTGCTGGGTCAATGGGTTAGGACAGTGATTTTCAAAGTGTGGTCCCTGGGAACTTATTAGAAACGCAAATTATTGGGCCCCACACCAGACCTGCTGAATCAGAAACTCTGTGGGTAGAATAGTCCTCCAGATGATTTTGAGGCATGCTCAGCTTTGAAAACCACTGTTTTCAGGTGGGAATGCTAAACTCTGTTTGGGTTGATTTGTGACAAGCTAGAGGTAGTTACGTTTGAACTGGGCCTTTAAAGAAGATTCATAAGATCTGGAGATCTGTTGTACAGCACGGTGATATGATTAACAACAATGTATAGTATATGTGAAAAATGCTAAAAGAGTAGATTTTAAATGTTTTCATTAGAAAAATGATAAATATTTGAGGTGATTGATATGTTAATTAGCTTGATATAAGCATTCGGCAATATATACATATATCAAAACATCATGTTGTACACCATAAATGTTTACAATTTGTCATTAAAAAAAAATCAAGAATGTCGGAATTCTCTACAGCATACTTCTTTCTCCAACTAAACAGAATTTGGTATTTTGAAAAAGCAATATATTTGACATTGTGATGTTATGGGAAAGAGCATTAGTTTTGAAATTTCCTATAAGATTTCTTCCTGGAGGAAATTTGGCATTACATATCAAAAGCCTAGCAATTCCACTTTTAAGAACTTATCCAAAGGGGATAGTTGCTCAAATGTACAAAGATGAGTGTAAAAGAATGTTTATCAAGGTATTGTTTTAATAGTAAAAAAAAGGGAATGTACCTTAATGTCCACTAGTTAAAAAAATTATGGTAAGTAGTTCTCATGGAATTCTAAGTATTCATTAAAATGATTATTTAAATGTCTATTTATTGAAATGGAAGTATATTTATAATAACTATGATTGAATGATTAAAAACTGTGACTATAAAAGGAAATATGTTTATAAATCAAATTTGGTTAAAATAGCTATATATGTATTCATTTATACCTCCACATATGTAGGAAATAAATAAGTATGGAAGGTTATACACAAAAATGTTAGCAATGGAAATTCTGGTTATATGTATGTATATATAAATTTGTTTCGATTTTGCTTATCTCTTTTTTCTAATGTTAAACTCTATTCCTGCTGTGAAGAAATGATAAAAGTTTAAAAACAACATAATCTAAGAATATTAAGCAGGCTTTGTACATAGTCTTATCATCAGGGACTAGAAATATTCATTTTTTAAAAAAATACTGTATTTTTTCTAGAATATTTGGAAAGAACTAATCCCTCTTGCTATAACAGTTCACTGTCAAGGTTACTGGCCTAAAATCTGGCATTGGTTCATTTCTGAACATTTGTATTATTATTAGATAATTACAAAAATATGGTTTTCATCTTGGAAGTTTTTGGAAAAGTAGAAATTACTGTATAGTGGGAAGCAAGAGATCCTGGTTCAGCCTTTGCCACTAACTTCCTGTGTGAATTTGGAAATTTTAGTCTCCCCTTTTCTGGCTTTTTTTTCACATAAAAAGTAACTGAATCAGAACATCTTGATGGCCTTTAACAACTCTAATATTCTTGGAATCTATAATGCATTTAGAAGCCAAACTATCTTCAGAGAGCTATATGAGGACGTATGGAGGCTGAAAAAAATAAAATAAACCCAAACTCTCTCAAATACTCTTTAAAGGATTCTGTTTCTGAAATTACACACGAAATTGTTGGTACTTCTCTCCCTTAGCAAGATTTCTTCCTTAATGGGATTTTTAAATAAATTAAGTGTTAAATGTCAAGATATTGAACGTTGGTATACTTATGACACCTGGTGGTGAAGTCAAACATCACAACTAAATTCTAATCTGCCACTCCCACCCAAAGATGCTCATTTTCCTTCATCTCTTTGAGATCTTCCCTCCTCCCCCCAAATTCATGCATCCACCATACATGCAGTTATTCACTCAACAAACACATAGTGAACCTTTAATATATTCTAGACACTTTACCATGAGGAAAGGGAGAAGAAAATAAGTCTTTGATATGTAGAAGATTGTTGCCTATTTAAGGTAATTAAGCACAGTATGTTGAGTGTGTTAAGTGCCCTCTCACTAAAGAAAATGATCAGAACTATGGACACTCTGAGGGCAGAGAAGTGACTTGTGGTTTGGATAGGTCAGAAAAGACTTCACAGAGAAAGTAAGCCTTGTTTCAGTTTCCCCATCTGTAAAATAGTGAGAATATTTTATTGTTTCATAGAATTGCTGTCAGAGATTGATTGAGAGAGTGTATATAAAGTACTTAGCATAACACCTGGCTCAAAGTAGGCATTCAATGATTTTACATCATTTTTATAACCAAACCAAAGATTATCAGGGAAGACTTCATGTGTATTAACTGTTCCTTAATTTTCTTTCAAGATTAGTTTTGGTTCAAGTTTACATGTGATTTTTTTTTATTTAGACTGAATATAGAGAACATGAGATCAATTATTTTAGTTATTTCAGTGGACAAATAAACCACAAAATAAAAGGCGCCATTGGCTCTATGTACAGCGTGCTAGACTAAATGACTGATTCAGCAAAATGGTCAATTCAGGGGAAAAATGTCATACAAAGTAGCTGTTTGCCTGAATGAGCTGGTTGTTTGACTGCAATGAACCGTCAGTTCAGTAAATGCAGTCTATTTGGAAGTCCCATGTAGTCAGTGCAAAGGCATCAAATAGATTGTTTGGCACTGTGTGGGCTGTGCGTGGGTTTACTGCATTTTTACATTTTTGTAATTCGTTGTGTTTAAGGTTGAGTAGACACTGTCTTAAATCCTATACTGCTTTCCAAACTCATATTTCAAGAGTTCTCGCAAAATGTGAATTTACTTTTGCACTTGAGTACTAGGTAGTTAATGTTAAGGCTGTTTCTTTATTTCTTTCATTCCATAAAATGTGTAGCAAACTAACTGCCTTTGCGAGCAATAAAAAGTAAAAGGCAATATTAAAATCACATTTTCCTTTTGTTTCTTCAATCAGATGCATGTCATATTTCCTCAAAATATCAAACATTTGGATAAAATGTCATTTTCAAGGGTAAAAATAAGCCGTGTTGTAGTGGTTTTTGGCCCAAAGCAATAATGTTCGTAGACTCATAGACTTACTTCAGAAGTCACCTAATCCTTTATAAGGTGGCAATTGAAAATGAATTAAGTTTCTCTTTTCCAGGGTTGATGATAAAGAATTTAGTTAGATCTCAAACTTTGAAAATATAGATGGAGACAACTATAAAACTAAAATGTAGAACTCCACAAGAGTATAGGAAGTATGTCTAGGGGCTCTTTTGCAGTGAAATATTGCCTGTTGGTTAAGTCTGCAAGTTTGATTGCTCCTTTTTACTACTAAGGGGAAAATCAAAATCTTTTTGATTCCTGAAAATATCTTCCTTAATACTGTTATCCATTTGTAGATCGGCATGCTATTTTAGGTTTACATAGATAAGACCTTTTGAATTGATAAAAGTTCACACTTGAATACTTCTTTGGTAGGAAACAAATTTGTATACTCAATCATGGTCTGACATGCCCTTGACCCTATTTTTACTCTATTTTCTGCAGAAATCGTCACTCTAATGCTTTCCCTAAGGAAACAACATAACTTCTTAAGATGGGAAGTAACAGCACAAACAGTACAAGAGCAAAGTGCCCTGATCTTCAAATGCCATTTCAGTACTCCCTCTATGCAACCACCTACATCCTCATATTCATTCCTGGTCTTCTGGCCAACACCACGGCCTTGTGGGTTCTATGTCGCTTCATCAGCAAGAAAAATAAAGCCATCATTTTCATGATCAACCTCTCTGTGGCTGACCTTGCTCACGTGCTGTCCTTACCCCTCCGGATTTACTATTACATCAGCCACCACTGGCCTTTCCAGAGGGCCCTTTGCCTACTGTGCTTCTACCTGAAGTATCTCAACATGTATGCCAGCATTTGCTTCCTGACATGCATCAGCCTTCAGAGGTGCTTCTTTCTGCTCAAGCCCTTCAGGGCCAGAGACTGGAAACATAGGTATGATGTGGGCATCAGTGCTGCCATCTGGGTCATCGTGGGGACTGCCTGTTTGCCACTTCCCATTCTGAGAAGCGCTGGCTTATCCAACAACACGGAATCCTGCTTTGCTGATTTAGGGCTTCACCACATTAGTATGACTTCCTCCATTGGCATGGTAACTGTAGCTGAACTTGGAGGGTTTGTATTGCCTGTGGTAATTATTACTTATTGCACATGGAAAATGAGAAAATCTTTAAGAGAATTTCAAGTTCCTCCTCGGAATACCAAAGAGAGAAAAAAGGCTTTGAGAATGGTCCTGATGTGTGCAGTGGTGTTTATTGTGTGTTTCACCCCTTACCACATCAACTTCCCATTCTTCATGTTGGTGAAACAACATGTCTTTTCAAATTGTTCCTTTATTAAGAGCACTCTATGTTTCCACATTATTTCCCTGTGTCTTGCAAATCTGAATTGTTGTCTTGATCCCATTGTATATTATTTTATGACTTCAGAATTTCGTGATCAATTTTCAGAACATGGCAGCTTGTATTTTCAGTCATGTGTGAGATGCAAGGACAGTGCTTTGGAAATCCATCAGAGGAAGGAAGATCTTCAAACTATCTCTCTCGAATGTTTGGATGATTCCAAGACAATGTAAATCAAATAATTAGTTAGAATAATCTATATGCTCTATCAGTTTCGCTATGTCAGTTTGAAGAATTTTCCTTTAAAACGTGGTATTGAGTACCTTAAAGAAACATGGCCCCCTTCCCTTCATCCTCAAAATGATCCTTCTGAAGGAATTATTCATGCCTGTATTTTCCGCCTAAATGGAAACATATTGTTCCATGGAGTATGTGAGAAAATATATCTCTTTACAGAAAGTGACGAGCAACAGAATGAATTGCACACCTGTTTCCCAGCAGCAGGCACAATCTTTCCAGTATCTCCTGAGAGAAACAAAATATAAATTGAAAACAGGTGGACAGGTGAATTGTCCAAATATTGAAAAGTATGCATCAGAGCAATATGACGCCACCTTTATTTAGAAAATGTACACTACCTAAACAAAGCATAATAAAGAGGAAAGTCTTTTTAATATTAATATGAGTTATGGGAATTAATATCTTTATAATTTGGAATATATGTGATATTTTTTCTTTCCTTGGGGAAACAAACAATTCAGATGAACTCCAAATATCTCAAAAGTATCATGGGATTCACACAACACATACACCTTAAAAACAAAATAAAGTTGTGTTCTAACATATTTCATAAACTTGAGTATCAGGGTTTACAATGAAGACTCTTTGCTTGGATATCTGTGAGTGTGTGTGACATAATGCGTGTTTTAACATAGTGGTACTCATTCAGAAACCATTCCATTATATTTGGTCATTAAAATCAATGGTGTCGTAGTTTGCCTAAAGTGATTGCTCTATGTACAAACTCAGTCACAACTTCACTTGATATGTTTAAATCAATGAGTGAATGAAAAATCACACACATGCATATAATTTTTCAGTTTCTAAATTCTAGTCGAACCTTATTTCTCACAAATAAAGACATATGTGAAGAGAACATTGGTGAATTGTATGCTATTATAAATGCTGAATGGAAAATTGCTATTTTTAAAATCCTTGTGGTTAAATCATTTTGTAGTACAAATTACTCCCACATTGGAAAATTTGAAACTTAAAATTTTTATATATTAGGTTTCATTAAATTGGCATTTTTAAAAGCAGTGGTTAGTTTTATAAAATTATAAAGACATTTTCTTGTTCTTATAAGATTGGAAATTCACAAAGTGGTTTATATGTGTGATTTTTTTGGTAATAGCTATTGCTTATCAAAACAAAAGCAGATAGCATTTACTGTGGTGAGGAGGGGACAGGGTAAAACCTGCGCTTTCTGAAACTTGCTAAGCATCTGTATTTTAGACAGCTGTATTCTGTAGAAATGATCATCTAATTCTTAAATGTAATTTTAGGTGCAAATATTTCTAAAGTAGATTTTTTCCTACCCACTTAAGCAGTTTGTGTTAAACAAAGGGACATGGTGTATGAAAGAAGCACTAATTCAGATTCAGAGGACCAGGATGCTAGTTTTAGATCTGCCACTGACAAGCTACGTGATCTTGGGCAAGTTTTTTCTCTTTGGGTTTCAGTTTTAGTATCTGGACATAAGGGGATTGGACTACCTGAGATCAACATGAGGCATATTTTTTTAGAAAACGCTCTCTAAACACTAAAGCATTTTACAAATGTTTGTTGTTGATGTTGTTATTATTTAAGAAGAGCTAACTCTAACATCTAATGTAATCTTTTCAGGATGACTGAGGGTCATCATTATAAACAGTTATTGTACTGTATATATTGCTTCTCTCAGGGCTATTGAAATATGTAGGATTGCTTACAACTACACTAAAATGGGCCCATGAATTTTCAGTTATTTTTTATTTTAAAGTGCTTATATATCTACATTTTCAAGCTATCAGTTCTCACTTCTTGCCACTGTAAGTGAGCCTGTGTAAAGAAGTCCCTGTCATTTCCATTAGTTCTTTCTAATCTTTTGTGCTTTGAAAACACACTAATTAAGCTGGTAAGAACAGAGTTTTAACTTAACAAAAATGAGTAAAATCCTGCTTCTTTTATTTTATTTGGAGAGGATGTATGTGGAAAAGGGAAAATTGCCTATGGAACAAAGTGTATGGGTTTTAGTTCACGGACTTTATGACATATATTTTGGCAATTTGGGACTATTTTGCTTCCTTCCTGGCTCCGTCAGCTGTGTTTAGATAGGTAAGGTTGCCAGGTATTTGAGTTCTGGATCACTGAGGTGTGATTAGATGTTTTTGAAACTTAAATTTTTTTGGAATATAAATATAACCATACATATATACAAATTAAATTTCCAAAAACATTAT